CAGAGTAAATAAAAATTAGTCATGTAGGGGTTAGGAAAACGTACACCCACTTGCTGACCCCACTTGTGGGATTGACATTGGGTTGTTGTAAATTGTTCAAGTCAAGTACACGAATATTCCCAACATTTTGTCATTCGACACTTCATAAAATAAAAATTATTATAAAAATAAAAAGTGTTCTCATCAAGTACATGATGATTATTCCATTCTTTTTAACATTGGCTACTTCATTTAATTTTATTATTTAATGTTACTGCTTTGTAAAGACAAATAAATTTATGGTGTATACAAAAACCAGAGAACAAATTGTACTTCAACTCTATACATTTTGTAAACAGCTCTAGACTTATAGTGGAAACTGCCCTACACCCCAACAAAAAAAAGAATACATGCGGAAACAAGTATTTTTCTTATTCACAATTTGGTTACCATTTGATATGGATAATAATTATCCAACACATATCTTATTAGCAACTCATTTCATCTACTTTTGGAACTGTGTCAAGAAAACCCCTATTTTTGAGTTTTCATTTCACTAGACCTTGCAACCACTTGCTTATCTCCCAAGGTATTGAACTGTAAATTTAATTTTGATAAAAAAAATATATATTCCAGTTTTTGAAAGATTGTCCAACTTGTGTCTGTTCTGCACATTTGACATTCTGTAGTACCCCTAACCATGCATGATTCTTTCACATTAAAAAACAAAACAGATTGTACACATATTGGTACCTGTGGCTGCTAGTCAACATGTCAATAAGACGGTCAGGACGCTCCTTGTGCTTGTTTGCATAAACATTGATAGCAGCCCCCAAGACCTAAAGAGTTTAAATGTAATAGATTATTAGCTTAGTAGCATTAATAATAATAATAATAATAATAGTAGTAGTAGTAGTAGTAGTAGTAACAACAACGACGACGATGACAAAAACAACATTATCAATAATAATTTTAATATTTTAATACGAAGTAGTGTGAAAAACGGAAAATAACAAAATTAACATTCAATTGCTTAAATAAGTAGTTCCTATATATTGTTGCTTCTAAGAGGGATGCATGGGATAACAGTAAAGACAGGACTCTCTAACAACCGGCGAGTACTTTTGAACATGAAAGAAACCAAATGTTTGGGTTATAATTATCTAGCCTTCTTCAAGCGGGTTACAGTTGTATATATAGGGACAAATCCCAAACATAGAATTATGAGATGACATAATTAGGAAAGAGATAATAAATAATTGAATAGCTAAATGGGCTCAAACTAATTAAAAGAAGCAGTGTGGGTTAGGCCGCGGCTGTCTCGAGCTGCGCGGGCCCATCATTTCTCCCATAATTCTCTAGTCTTACCCCAAGTGGGTTATAAGCGTTTATATAGGGACAAATCCCATAATAGGATTCAAGTTAGTCATACTAATGAAATATTGAAATGCCAAACACAATCCATGTAGTCGATCCAAACTATACTATGATAAAGTCTTAGTTAAAGTTCTATCATATTCGCAATAAAAGATACATTCTTCATGTTACCACCAACACATAGTCAAATCATATATTTTGACACGTTATTTCTAATGTTTAGGATAACATAATTGGATTTAATCATTTTAATGGTTTCCATATGTATTTTTTCCATTACAGCTATACCCCAGGAGACACTGGCTTTACCTCTTCCCTGGGAGTTTTTATAAGTAGAGAAAGGTAGGGTAAAAAGTATGTAAAAACCCTTTGTGTAGAAAAGATAAGCAGTAAAAGAGAACCAAAAGGCCAGTAGAGAAGGAAACCAGAATACTACGGTAACTAAGAAAGCAAGCAGGTAGGTGGGAAAAGAAACAAGCAAAGTAATAGGTGCCACACAACACACCCCTAACGAAAAGGCCAAGAGAGCTAACAACCCAAAAAAGATGGCTCTCAAACCTTACCAGGGAATATGCTACCCTAATCTGGTGTCTACAGAAACCTAAGGTTAGGTCCTTGAAGAAATTTAAAGCGGCCGGGTTCAGCCTCAGCTGCACATCCCAAATCCTAGGTAGGTTGTCTCTATCTCCTTACCCGAAACACTCTCTGCCCTTCTTACAAGGCCAAAAGAGCTAACAACCCAAACAAGATGGATCCCAAACCCTACAAGGAATTTGCTACCCTAATCTGGTGTTTACAGAAAGGTTCAACCTCAGCTGCTCATCCCAAAACCTTTGTAGGCTCTCTATCTCCTTAAACAATACGCTCTCCGACGTCCTTACTAGGGTTGACATGTCTCTCCCACAGACATAGCTAAATGACCACAAACTTCTTGCTCTTAATTTATCAATAATTGGTGGGACTCCTAGCTCAATCTGTAAAACCACAGTTGGTATTTAGTCAAACATGGTATGTCCACTATGACCAGATGTTCACCGCAACATCCTCATCTCAACAATTTCAAACTTATGCACACGCACCTTGTGAATCATCCAACATTAAGACCCAAGCATTCGTTGCTTAATAAAACCCACGTTCATCGACTGCATGTTGTGGAGATGGGGATGCTGCGGTGGATGTGTGGGAAAACAAGGTTGGATAGGATTCCGAATGAGGTTATCCGAGGATGGGTTGGCATGACACCTCGGAAAGATAAGCTGCGGGAAGCTAGGTTGAGGTGGTTTGGGCATGTGAGGCGGCGGGATGTTGTGCGGAGATGCGAGACTCTTACATTGGTGGGTGGGAGTAGGGGAAGGGGTAGACCTAGGAAGAATTGGAACGACGTGATTAGAGAGAACTTAAGACTTCTTGCCCTTACTGAGGATTTCACCTTAGGAGCGTTCGAAGAGCTACGGTTAGAGTAGTTGGGTAGACCGCGGGTAGGCGCTTTGGGCTAGGTGGTAGTTTTCTGCACTTGTTGAGTGCTTTGTATGCCTTACCTGCTTGGTACTCTCTGTTTGAAGTACTTTTCCTTCGTTAACATTAGTTTGCTCTTTGCCTTTGTGTGCTTTGGGCTTTAGCAGTGCTTTCTCTGCTTTATTATGTATCTCATGAGATCTTTTATTACTATATTATCTTTTATTTTTTCTTCTTGAGCCGGGGGTTGGAAATCGCCTCCATACTTTCTAGTAGGGGCAAGGTTTGCGACTTTGCGTACACACACCCTCCCAAGACCCTACTCCTGCAGGATCCAACTAGGTTGTATTTTTTGACAAGTCAAGTTCATTTTAGTAATTTAGAAAAGAATTTTAAAAATGTTATTTTCTCTTGTAGGAAGAACAACATAAACAATCTAACATAATGTGTGGCGCATGAAATTATGAAAATGTAATCTGCCGTTAACATTACCAACCCCATAAAATTGGAGGTGAAATGAAAGCTTTATTAATACCTCATCCCAATCATCATCAACTATTATGCCTTTAATATTTCTAAAGAATTCTGTTAGCTGTCCTCCCTTCTTCCTCTCAGCAAGTGATGCAGCGACTCCAGCATATATGTCAACAGCTACAACAATATATTGGTGAAAAAGCTCAGGAAAATGGACTGGGTATTTTAGTAATCTATGGCACAATAGGAAGGAGATGACAATGCATAGAACTGGATTGGTTGTACTAGAAACTAGCAAAATACATACCCGGAAGATTGAATTCATGAATCAGTGGAAATGCTAAACCAAAATTCCTCTCAGCAAGAGTCTCTGCAATCACGCACCTCCTCCTGCAGCAAAATGCATGCCCACTAACCTCAATAAACCAAGCAATAATGAAACTGTGAACAATATAAGAGACAACATTAGTAATACTAAAAACCTGAATGTTTCAGGGTCATTTGGATTCCCAAATAGAGAATGCTTCCATCGTGGTCCCTCAGAATCATTAAAGCATTTTACGACATCGAGCTGTGAATAAAAAAGAGCAGGCAACAACTTACGAGTTACGACTCATTCAAAAAGTATAATTTATGCCGTCACGAACTACAATTTACAACAATATGCAATGAGTTTGAGTGCTGAGTATTACATCATGTACTACAAGCAAAATCTGAATTAATAACAAATTCATAAAGAAAAATAAGTTTGCCAATCATCACAATCTTAGTGTTATTATGCTCTATTTGTGACTTTGCGTTTTATGTTATTGTTTAAATTTTTTAGAGTAATTCTCTCTTCTTTTTTTTTTGTATTTTAAAAACAAAGATTGGGTATTACTTTTTGCAAAAATCAGGAATTGAAGCCTTTTGATTTCAGCATCATGATTATGGATTATGTATTCTGTTTTTACCATGGAGTATTCATTTTAGCTTTGTTTTTTCAAACAGAACTGAGGCTTACGCCTCGTTCCGCCTCGAGGCTTACGCCTCCAGGCATTTTTGTCCACCGCCTCGAGGCTCGTTTTCGCCTTTCAAAACATTGGTTGGATCACAAATGACTTAAAACTTTATCCTTAAACATCTAAAACATAATTATCAATGCTAACATTATAATCCTGAATTGACATTGTAATTGTCTAATTGAAAAGAGAAGGCTTCGAGTAGAAGCAGAAGGAAGCACCGAAGCAGAAAGGGAAGGCTAGAAGCAGAGATAAATGATCGGCAGATAAATAATTGCAAATAAATAGAAGCAAATAAATAATAGCCTGGAATCGGAAGGGAGCCGCGACTGGAATTGGGAGTCGTGACAGAAGCTGAGTTTTGGTCTTTGGGAGTCGCGACAGACGCGACGTTCAGATTCAAATTTCTGAAATTCAAAGTCGTGATTAGATTGGGATTTTGAAGCGAAGCTGCGTTAAATCGCCGATCTATTGCGATCGTACGATTTTACGATTCGGACTGACGATCCGACCGACCCTATTGACCATCGCGATTCTGGAGGCGAGTTAGATCGGAAAGTTACTGGCGATCCCTGGACTCGCAGAATCGTACGAGTCAGATCGCGATTTTGACTACCATGGTGGGGGGGGGGGGGTCGGATGTACTCAGCCTAACCTCCTATAGATGTTTCCAGATGACCCATGATGAGCGTTGAAGGTTGCCTTGACTAGCTGCTACTTCACTACTGAAAGAAATGCAGACACTTTAAAGAGCCATTTTGCTTTATTCCATCATACCCAAAAGCCAAGAAAGAGTGAACCTTTGGCTCCATCAGAGATGATGATGATAAAAAGAACACATAATGAATACATAGAAATTAGGTTCTTCAACCACTACCACTTCTATATTCTAATTCTATGTCTCAAGCTGAGAAGTGTGGAGCATACCATGCTCAAAGCTTGCTACAAAAGACCAATCATAGAAAATGAAATAAGTTGGATGGAGTATAACTTCATGCATCCTCCATGAATAGTCTACATTGGAGGGAATATCACATGTGCCATTTCAAATACACTTCTGTGACAATTAACTATCTTTGCCCGTGTTAAAGGAATTGTGTCCTAAACTGGAGTTTGTGAGAAGGTTATAGTATGAATAGAGTTTGTTAAACATTGACAAATGTGTCTTGCCTTTCAAGAGTAAAATAATTCAGTCAATTATCAAATTTGTTGAGCTATTCATATTGATGTTAGGGGTTTCATATCCGGTTTAACTAAAAAAAATGGTTCTATAATTTTTAAACCTTTGTGGACGGTCATTCTCATTGCACTAGGCTATATTTGATAATGTGTAGAAGTGAAAACTATTGTACCTTGCAGACAAATATTCTCACTATGAATCACTTAACATATTTGGGCAGTTAAGCAGTGTAGTCACAGATTTGGGCCACAGATAATTGCTTGTGAGTGTTGTGATCATACTTTGTTTTGCAAGCATACTAGCAATCGTTGCATTCTGACGACAGTAAATGTAGATGATAGTGTCATTAGACTCATTACAAGGATGCTAAAGGAACTGAAGAGCTCAACCTTAAGGCATTTCTCCAAGCCTAATTTCAGAAAAAGATCTTGGACCGCTAGAGATGTTTTTTTTGGAAGTGAGGTGTCTCAGTGTAGGAGAGGAATATTGCTTTCAGACAGGAAATATGAGCTAGAGCTGCTTGAGGATACTGGATTATCTGAAGAAAAATCGTTTGAAGGTCTTATGAACTATAATATTACTGACAGCAGGCAAGCGGGAGCTATTCGATGACCCGATGACATATATGAGACTGATTAGAAAGCTTAACTACCTCACCATCATTTGACTACGCATTACGTTCCAAGTTAGCATGGTAAGTCAGCTTGTGGCTTGCCCCCAAAGACAACTAGGAATGCTGAATGCAATGATTAGGATAGTTAAATATGTGAAGAATGCTCGGGGTAAAGAACTTACATATCCAGTGTGCCAATAAACGACATACAAATACTGAGGCATTTCTGATGCTGATTGGGCTGGGCCCCAAAGTGACAGATGATCTACCATTGGAATACTGTATGTTTGTGGGAGGCAACTTGGTTTCTTGGAAAAGTAAGAAACAAGATGTGGTTGCATGATCAGGTGCAGAATTTGAGTATCGAGATATTGTTCAGACTAGTTGTGAATTAATATGGATTTATTACTTGCAGAGAGATACTAAAGTTACACAATACACTCCATTGAAAATGTGGCGTGACAATCAAGTGGCCATTCATACTGACAATATTTCAGTTTTTTCACGAGCTGACAAAGCATATTGAAGTGAGTGAGAAGATCCATTGGGGAATAATTTGCACATAATATATGCCAACAGGAAAGCAACTAGCAAAATTGTTTACAAAGGGACTCACTAATTGTAGAATTGATTATATTTGTCACAAGTTGGGCATGACTAATATCTCTGTTCCAACTTGAGGGGTGTTAGGACTTAGGAAACGTGTCTTAGGGTTCTAGTGGGCCAAACCCCAAACCTAATCAATCTTATGAGTAATAAATTGAAACTTGAAAGATGATTGAATCAATACAATTTATTACTTCAATTGACATAGAAATATTAATCGCTACAATAGTGCGATAGAATCACCTGAATGGAAACCCTAAGAACAAATTTGAGAAGACCTTCTTCTGAAAGCTTCTCAGCAGCACTTTTCCCTCTTACACCCTTTGAAACAAGCTTAGTAGATACTCCTCCTTTGGATCGCACAGATAGCTCATCGTCAAAATGCATCTATATTAAGAATAGGATCAGAATGAGAATTGCAGTACAAAAGATTAGAGTTATACATACAAAATGTTGGTTAGTAACCCATATAAAAAAGGCTTTGGATAATTTTCAGGCAGATACATGCATCTTGATGAGATGCCCTGCCTGTCCCTCATGCATTTTTCTTAATGACCAAGGTAGTCTTTCCTTCAAGACTGCTTGTTAGATTAGCTGATCAAAGCCTTGAAAAATATATACCGGCATACCACCATCATGGCTTGCTAATAAGCACCGGTAGAAAGAAAAGATGATATAAAAACACGTGCACACACACACACATTATATGTATATATGTATATGTATGTGTATGTGTATGTATATGTATATATATATTTTATATATATATATATATATATATATATATATCAGCGGAAATAACCAATAAAATAAGCTACACTAACAGATCGATCAAACAAGCTGCTGAGAGGATGCTATAGTTGAATAACGTAAAAACAGTCAACAGTGCACCATAATTGTTTACGAAGCTCGGAGCAAAATCTTCTACATCTGCGGGGCCCACGTCCCTGTAATGTCCTTACACTAAATCTTAGAAGTAGGTTACGCCGGTCAATAAAAATGTGCTGAGACACACTTCTCCAAATTGTTATTACAAAACCTCCACACTAAGACTTCTATCATGAACCCTGTTCAAACTGCTTCTTGGCTATCACACCTTCACCAAGGTCTTCAAAGACGTGTTCGCAATCCTAGTTCCAGAACCAACTGCACAAATCTGGACCGTAGCTTGTAGATTTGGACTGCAGCTTGCGTTATTCACTCCTTTGACGTAAAGGCTATCCCCAGGGGTATATTGGACAAATTACGCCTAAAAAACAGATCACTGTTTGTTGCCGGAATTGGCAGTCACCCTCGCAAATAGTAGCTTGCAGCCAGTGAAGAAAGCATGGGTTGGAGTGCTGTGCACCGCTGAAGCTTGCGGTACTGAGGTGACCAACACGTCACCGGTGAAGAAATACCCTGGAGCTGTCTGCGCAGTTGGAGACCGGCACTGGATCACGTCGCGAAGATATCCAGGTCGCACCTCCCTTTAGTTCTCTCGTGTACTATTCTTTTTCCCTAACTTCTTTGTGTGAGACTAGTGGAATATATAGGCAAACCTTAAACCTTAGCCCAGCAGGATAAGGAGTTCTAGCCCAAAAGTAAATCAAGCAAGATAAGGACTCCAAGGTTAGGCTCTTCCTTTTCATTCTTCAACACACACTCGGTCTATATAATTATCACACAATAAATCACGCTCTTCTAGCACATATCTCTGAAAAGCAGTCTTCCAAAATTTTTGGACTCCTAGACGGTTTAAAATTCTGAGATGCTGCAGGTCTACACAAGGTGACGGACAAGATGCTACAACTCTATATTAAAACACCTACAAATAATGCTGAACAAATCTATTCATCTGTCAAAACCCTCCAAACACTACACCTCAACGAGGGTGACTCTAACACGAAGTTTTTCATGCAGCTTGCAAGGCCAGGTGGAGGAAACAAACTCTCAGCTCGATTACTAGAGATGATGGCTCTACGAAGTCAAACCGCGACAAAATCCTCCAGGAAGGTGTTAACCATTTTTCCAAGCTATTCAGCCTCCACCATACTAAAAATATTCCATATCACAGCTAATATCCTCTCTCTGGTCTCAGCCGATAAAAATATCAGCCTCTGCTCTCTCCTTACGTTGGAAGAAGTGGGCAATACTATCTGGGGCCTAGACCCTAACAGTGCAGCAGAAGAGGATGGCTTCAATGGTTTCTTCTTCGGAAGCTGCTGGGAAATTATCAAATATGACAAGTGGAGCGCAGCTCAAGAATTCTTCCTATCCATACCAATGCCCAAGAAGCTCAATGAGTCCCTAATCACTCTCATTCCCAAGGTGAATAACCCTATAACCTTCAGTGGCTTCCGTCTCATCTCCCTTACAAACTTTGTTGCCAAAATCAATTCCAAAATCTTAGCCACCAGATTGTCCATTGTTCTTCCCCGATTGATCTCTCAAGAGCAAGGGGGATTCATGACAGGAAGAGATATCTCCAAGGCCTTTGATACCATCTCCTGGAACTTTTTAGAGCATGTTCTTTAAAGCTTAAACTCTTAACTACAAGTTTCTTTCAGTTCTTCTAGTTCCTTCCAGTTCCTTCCAGTTTTGTCCAACTATTCTCATTTTCTTCAAACTCTTTCTACTCCCCAAAGAATTACTTTAAAAACGATGTATTTTTAATGTGATTATTAGCATTATTGTTATTAGTATTATCTTCATTATAATTACTATTATTATTATTACAACTATTAAGTTCATAACTATAGTTTATAAATTATTTCATTTTTTTATTTTTTCCATGTCACTAATTTTACGATTCACTCTTCTAAATTGATACGAGGAAGACATTTTTCAAATTTTTATTAAAAATTTTTTTAGTCAAACTATTTTAGAGGCCAAAATAAGAGTTACAATGTCAATCATGAAAGAAAAAAATATCACACCTTCCAACAAACGTGTGGTCTTCAACTTAACTTGAACAAATGCGCCTTCTACACAGCCAAAAGCTGGCACCACTCAAAGGTCTAAGGTTATCTGAATCCTTGGAATGCCTCAAAGGTCCCTCCCCTTCATCTATTTGGGAGTGGCTCACTTCCAGCGCATCAACCGCCTTCTGTATTGAGCTGACCTGATTGCCAAGTTTGACAAAAAGCTCAATGGTTGGAAGCAACACGCCCTCTCACAAGCTGGGAGGCTGGCGCTCATAAACTATGTTCTCCAAAACATTCCACTCCACACCCTTAGCACCACCACTCTCCCAAAAAAAGCTATAGCTTCAACCGACTCCAGAATTAACTCTTTCTGGGGAGGTAAACGCCACTGGAGCTCGTGGTCTTCAATAGCTTCCCCCAGAGTTTTAGAAGTGGGCATTAAAGATATTGAGGAGCTTCAGAAATCCTTCGGCTGCAAAACTTGGTGGAAATACCAAACGTCTACCTCCCCTTGGTCTTCCTATATGCGTTGGACGTATCATAGAAAAGGAAGATACGAATCGGTTCTTACGCACTCACAAACCTAGAAACGGATCTGCAAGATAAATAACCTCTGCTCTCTCCATAGCAACTCGTTTGGGAACCAGGTGATAATGGATCCTTCAGCCTTGACTCTGCCTACAACTTAGTAAGAGGGGAAGGCCCTTCGCTAGCTACGACCTCCTACATTTGGGATGAACTTCACCCTCCTAAAATGAACCCTCCTAAAATGAACATGCTGCTCTGGAGAATCTCCCGGCAGAACCTTCCATTCCCTGAAAAGCTCCGCAAACTCAATTTCCACATGCCCTTCATCTGCCCTTTCTGTAATCGGAATGAAGCTTCTCTGGATCACACTCTCATGCTCTGCCCAGAAGCCAGCGCTAACTTCTTACTCTGGTGGTTATCAGGCCGTGACAACTGCTCCATCTCCAAACTAAGATATGTGGCCCCCAAAGTAGTGCTATGATATCTCTGGAGAAACTACAATGGCATCATATACGGAGACAGCAAATTCAATCGGTCCAATATCATTGCCCAGATCCATGCTGAAATGCTGGGCTATAGCTAAAAGGATCAAAGTTAAGGGTTTCCATCACCCAAGACCCATTCGTATCACTAAGTAACTCATGAACTTGCTTGCTTTGAATCCACTATTTTTTCTCTTAGAACTTTTGATAATTTTGCTTCATAACCTACTATTGTTAAGGGATCTATCCCTCTCGATCTTTTTGTACCTTTCATCCGCAAATCTATTAAAATCTATATTTCCCTATAAACACACACACACAGATACATACATACATCCATACATCCATACATGCATCCATCCATCCATGCATCCATCCATGCATGCGTCCATGCGTCCATGCATGCATGCATGCATGCATACATACATACATACATACATACATACATACATACACAGACATACATACATACATACATACATACACGCACGCACGCACGCACGCATACATACATACATACATACATACATACATACATACATAGGGATCGACTCCAGTTAGATGCACCTTACAGTGAGATGACATGCTACAGTTAGATGACGCAAAGCTGCCACTGCAAAGCTCACCAACGATAACTACAAAGCTCACCAAACTGTAAGGCAAAGCTCACAATATTTTTTCAACATTTTGAATTTTTTTTTGAAAAAAATAAAATCAAAGGAAGGGGTGGTGACAAAATTTTGACTGTTGACCACCACCTTTGACTGCCGCCGGCACCCCCCGCCGCCGCTGCTCGGCCGTCGCCGGTCGTCGGACACCGCTGCTGACCGGTGGTTGACCAGTTGCTATTTTATTTTTAATTAATTTTTAATTTTTAAAATTTTTTAAAAAGGTGAATTTTGGTGTTAAAGTGGCGAGATTTGCTTTAGCCATTGGTGAGCTTTGCAATGTAATGTGGTGAGCTTGGTGTCATCTCACCGTAAGGTGTCACCTGAAGTCAATCATATATATATATATATATATATATATATATATATATATATATATATATAGAGAGAGAGAGAGAGAGAGAGAGAGAGAGAGAGAGAGCCAATCACAAGTAAAAAGGTGTATAAACTCAGGTGTCCAGAATGGTGACTAACCTTGGCATGTTCCAAATGTTTTATAGCTTCCTCTTGAGAAGATGAGTTCATAAACAACTGAATAGAGCAAAGCCCAGCAGCTATATGGTCTTTCTTGATTACCTGAGTAGTTTTTAATCATTCGTAAACCATATGAAGCATTTTAAGTGAATGATCCCAAAAAAATAGGAGCTAAAAGTGATGTCAATTCTAAATTAAGATTTCACTTGTACTTGGCCATTGTAATGCAAAGGGGAAACATTGAAGGTATTAAAGCAACGAATGAGATTTTGCCCAAGTTGGTAAAAGAAGCTATAAAAGTATTAAAACAATATATCATCATCACTCATCAGTACTAGCAGACACAAGGATAGGTCAGCTATGGTATAGGCCATACCTTGTGGGTGAGTGTATGGATGACATGCCATTAAGCACTACTTTTATCTTTTTTGAAATATTAGTTTCAATAGTTTGTTCAGGGTAATGTTGTTATCACAGGTAGGGAGGAAAAGATTTTAAAAAAGTTTCAAAGAGTCAAAAAGAATTTATGGAAGAAAAAAAAGTTTTCCTACCAAACCAGAGGGAACAATGTGCTCTTGCTTTTAGTGTTAGTGTAAGACTTCCTCCATCCCATAAAAATATTTTAAAATTTGTATTCAGGCTTTGTTTGTAATGTAAATTGAATGCTTTATTTTCAACTCGACTGCTAGAGCAAATGCTTAATTTCTAACAGAGATACAATGTTCGGTAAGGTCCACCAATTTCCGCTAAACTGAAAAGTTCAGTAGACATATAGTACACCATAGTAGTAGAATTTTTTGTTGGAAAATTATGTCACTGATTGTTGGAAAATTGCTCAAGTGGGTGGGATCAATGAGCCACAACCCACTATGAGATACTACACAATGATCAGCTCTGAGTAGCTGCAAGACATACTACTTGCCTCACAATGACTTCATTTTATGTGTTTCTTCAAAAATTAATTAGCCATATAACAAACATAATGGTAAAAAAATACCATGCATAAATAAAAGTTCTTTAAAAAGGAATGAGTAGTTGCTACAAATTAAAAAGTACGCTAATTCTTTAATAATCATCAAGTATATTTGCTGGGCGAAATTTAATGTTGTTGAATTGTTTTTTAGAGTAGAGGAGATTTTAGGTAAACGCGAGTAAGAATAATGTCAATGCTACTGTAAATTAACTTATAAAAACTTGAATTTATAAACTAATTTAAATAATTTTAGTAGGACAATAATGCCATGTGGGATGTCATGTAGCTAATAGAACATGGCAAAGCTTGGCATGCCATGTAGTACTTAAAAATGAAATGGATGAAAAACTTAATGGAAGTATAGAAATGATATGAATTCTGAAGTTTGGGACTAATATGTTAGAAATTTTTGTTTGAGGACCTAAAGATATGAGAGAAAAGTTTAAGGACCAAATATGCATTTAAACATTTTCATAAATTGGGGACATTCAATTGAAGAAACTATGCTTTATGAGACAAGTCGGCAACATGTGGCAACACAAAAACAGAATACAGCATGCAAATAAAGTTTCCTGATTAGAGTATGATGTGTATTAGTATAAGCAGAAAATGAAAAGAAATTTATTATACCTGAAACTTGTATAGATAGTTGAAGTGTTTATGTGTCTCACAATAATTACAAATGCGGGCAAGTGCAGCAACAGTGTGCTCATGTACTAAAGTGTCTAGTGATGCACTCTTCGAGGTTCTTTCAAACAATACCTCCTCCAGTACAGGCATGGCCCCATAAGCAATGCAAAGATCACACAAAACATCAAGATTGCCATAATCGGTTGCCAGTTGATCTTGTCTTTGAGGAGAAGTAGAGGAAGTGACACCCGAAGATGGCTGGGGTGGTGGAGGAAAAGAAGAGGGAGGGAAAAATAACAAGCAAGCTTCCTTGTAATGTCCATGCCTAAACATGAAATCAAGCAAATGCTGACGAGCATACTGCATGGTTTACTATATATTAGTAAAGGAGCAGAAGCATAACATTCACACTCCGTATCAAATAGCTTGTTTGTCAATAGAAACGAGCACCAAAGTCTATGGTTTGTGTATGTTTACATTTATGTCATGTTAATATCTTGTTAGGATCAGGATTGTTTCTTGTATATGATGGTCATTAACTTTTTTTGTTTATTAGTTCCTACGTAAATGAGTAGCCCCTCGATTATGGTTCTTACATAACTATAGCAAAAAGGGGTGATCAGTATAAACAACAACAGAACACATAATTATCGACGTGGTCAAAAGCATGCCTGAGGCACAACAGGGAGCACCTTACCCACGAAAAAAGACTTCACAGATACTGCTGATCATGTTGTGAAATTTATATTACACCACATAGAAAAGCCTAAGTTATTAGCAAGAATTTTTTTTCATTACAATACTCTGTATATACTTCTGTTGTCTAGTACACAGAAGTAGGGTGTGTGCAAACCCCCCTACTTGAGTAGAGAGGCTGTTTCAAAGAGACCTCCAACTCGAAGGAAGATAACATGAAAGAAAAAATCAGAAGGAGAAAACTCAATAAAATGGATACGTTATCTAACACATGACATAAAGATGTAGTATTTGAACTTACTTCTTGAAAATAATTTACACACTCAATATATCTAACACTATCCAAGTTGCTGTGAGGCCCATCTTCAATGTCAGCGTCATAAGCAGCAGAATCATTTGATGGTTCATGGGATCGCCTGGATCTTTCAGAACGTGGAGATGTAGATGGCATGTACAGAATGTTAAGATAGGAATCAGCAGAAAGAGAATCATCAAGAATTGCGGGCGCGCTTCTAGCTAAATGCTCATACCTGAAAATTATTTGAAACTTCGATGTCATAAACATCCTCAGATTTCACAAAAGTGAAAAGAAGCTGTTATCTGCTTCATGTTATGGTAACATTTATTAAACATTGTACTCTAAAAAAACAGGCAAACAGTACAGCACTAATCATTTTTTAGAAATCCTTGCTAGGATAAGTATTTTCAGGTTTTAACACTCTCAAAGAAATTTTAGGAATAAAGAGCATATTATCATTATGTCTGGATGAGATTCTCTGCCTTCATTCACCGTCCGGGAGAAGTCAGAACCTCATTTCCAGTGGAAAGAATTTTTCTTGCAAAGAAACGTAAAAAATAATAATTAAGGGGGAGTGAGAGAGTGGAAGGGTAATCCTTCCTTCTCAATGTAACGATGTTTCCGTTTATAGAAATGGGAACTTTTCTTTGTAACAACCCAAAAACAAAGATGGGAGCACTAATTTGGGATGGAAGGAGTAATGTCTCTGCCATGTCATAATATAACAAGAGCAAACAAAATATAACCCACACCCACAGAATAACTTCTATTTTATATTTTTAATGTATAGAATTTTTGGAAGGTTTTTTTTTACAGAGACTACACACAGATCAATGGCAGGCCATCTAATAATCTCCTAGTGACAACATCAATATTTCATTTATCATTCAATATATTATTCATTTCTAAAAGGTGTGGTTGAGACTACATGTGGTGACACCATTTCTTGTGCTAAAGTTATCAGGTGTGTTCTTATCATTTGCGTCAGGCATATAAATCATATAATTTCATACGGCACAGGAGCCAGTCAATCCGGTCTTTTCTGGTAATCCTGAAAACTCCTTGAGTTTTTCCATGTTACCGTAAAGTACTGATTTCTCATGCAAAATGTTTTCTGTCAAAGCCACCCACAAACTGTTGCATCCATTTTCCTCAGTCTTAGGTGACACCACACACCAAAGCATAACACCATCAGAGTTGGCACTAGACCTGAAAAATTTGACCTGGCCCGTTTTTAACCCGAAACCCAACCCAAAATTAGCGGGTTTTGAATATGCATTTTGCGACCCGAACCCGAAGACCCGTTGAAATTTCAAGACGGGTTGGACCCGACGGATTGAGCCTTTAAAACTTACTCCATAAATGTTTAACATTTTATAATATCACCACATCCGCTAGCCGCACTTAAAACCTTATCCCATGGTATTCGGCATTCCTATCGGGGATCACTCACTAAGAATCTCCGACTTCTCCGTCTCTCGGTTTCTCTTAATATCTTCCATTCTCTTCCGTTGTTTTTTTGCAATCAACCCGTCACACAGCCTCAGTCCTCCTCTGATGCGGACTCAATCAATATGGTGAGAAGACTCAAGAACAATAATGGAATTCCTAAACCTATCTCATCTTCTTAGTTGGGTGTGCAGGTAACTCAAGTTTTAATTCTCTTCTAATAACTTTTTTGCTATATTGCAATTCTTTTTGTTATAGTGCAATTTTTTTGGTATGTTGCAAGAATCTGTTTTTTTATTCTATACAGCCTTTTTTTATGTTGCAATTTGCAAGAATCTGCAGATATTTTACATACTATTCTTTTGAGTATTGCCGCAAGAATGAAGAAGCTGAACTTTTTTGGTATACTGCACTTTTTTTTGGTATACTATAAGAATCTGTACATTTTTTCGTATACTACTATTTTTTTTTGTATGTTGCAAGAATCTACAATTTTTGTTGGCATGCTGCAATTTTTTCGTACACTACATAATTGTATGTATTATTATAGGACTCTTTTATTCTTTTCATTTAGTACATAATAAAATTTATGAGTTTAATTTTTTCATCATACTGGAACTACCACAAGAACTGAAGAGTTTTCTCAAAGTCGAAAAAGAAAATGGGCTTCACCAATTTGGAACGAGTATAATGTTTTTGATGGAGATCAATTTCCAGATGGTCTAGACAAAGCAATTTGCAAGTATTGTAAAGGAGGACCAGCTTTTGCAAATTCTAAGAATGGTACAACTAATTTTGAACGCCATACGGAAAATTGTCATGCCCGTGTTGTTAATGATGTTGGTCAATTACTGTTAAACAAAAAGGCTAACTTGACTAAAAAAATTAGACCAAGGCACATACAAAGAGTTGGTAACACTAAGTATTACGGAGTATAAAACATGGTTATAGCTTTAGTTTTGTAGAGCATCCGGGAAATAGGGCTATACATGTGTATTTGGATGAAGACTGCAAACCTATCTGTAGAAATGCAGCTAAGAATTATTGTTTGAAGATTCATGAGAGAGAAAGATTGAAACTTAAAAAAGTCTTAAGTGAAATTGATGGTAAAATATGCTTCACTTTAGATATGTGGTCATCAATAGTGGGACAAGTTTATCTTAGCTTGACAACTCACTTTATTGATGATAATTGGAATTTACAAAACAAGATTCTTAGCTTTTGTCATGTGCCACCTCTACACAATGTTGATGCCATTCATGATAAGCTTTTAAGTCTTCTTAAGATGTGGGGATTTCATAAGAAAGTCTTTTCCATTATGCTAGATAATGCGAAGTACAATGACAACATGAAAGCTCTTTTATCAAAGTCTCTCAATTTATTCTCATTTGCCTGCTAATGGTCTCTCAATTTATTCGCATTTGCCTGCCAATGGTGACTATTTTCATGATTGTTGTGTTGCTCATATAATGAATTTGATTGTTAAAGAGGGTCTTACTGTTATTGATACTTCCATGCATACACTTAGAGATTGTATAGAATACGCTACTGCTTTTTAGGTTCGTGAGTTGAAACTTGAGGATTGTGTTAATAGTTTTGGTGTGGATACTTCAAGAAGTTCAAGAAGTGTGTGGTTAGATTGTCCTACTAGGTGAAATTCAACTTTAAAGATACTTGATAGAGCACTCCTGTGCCATTTTGTTTTTCTGGTGTTAAAAGGATGGAACGTGATGCACCCCCAGTTCCAAGAGATGAAGAATGGGTTAAGTATTGGAAGGATCCATGAACTTTTGAAGCCAATTGATGACATTACTACACAATTTTCTAAAAGATACTATCCCACAACAAATAAGTATTTGTTGAATGCGTGGAGAATCCAATGTTTTTTAAAGAGACATTAAGATGATATACTAGAAACAGATATGTGCATAAGAGAGATGGCAAAGAAGATGAAAGTGAATTTCGACAAGTATTGGGAATGTTATAGCATGATACTTTCATTTGCAGCAATATTAGATCCTCTATATAAACTTTAATTTGTGAGGTTTTGTTTCAAAACTTTAGATCCTACGACTGAAGCATCAAAGATGAAAGATGTGAAGGAGCGACTTTTTAAACTATTTGGTGAGTATTCAACAGTTGATCTCTCCACCAATGTGACTTCAAATTTAAGGAAGGCCTCGGCAGATCTTGAGGTATGTTTATAATTTCATTTCATATATATTTAGAATTTCATTTTAATACTCCATAATATTTATGTTCAAATTGTTCATTCTTGATTTTTACACTTTAAATTTATATTCACATCTTTTAGTTTTTTATATTCATTTCTCTTTTGAAATTTGTATGTAGGCTTTTTTAGCATTTGATGGAGTGACAACTTCTAGGTGTAAATCTCAATTGGATGTGTATTTAGAGAAACTTAAGGTGGATCCTAATGGAAAAATTAGATGTTCTTGAATGGTGGAAGGACAATGCTAAAAGGTCCCCCCCGATGTTGCAAAAATGGCAAAAGATATATTAAGCATACCAATCACCACAGTTGCATCTGAAATTGCTTTTAGCTTAGGTGGTAAAAATTTAACAAAGTGAGCCTGAGAATGCAGAAGCTTTGATTACCACCCATAGTTGGATATTTGAATATGATGTTGATGAAGGTAATTTAATATATAAGCCTCAATTTATTTTACACTTACCTATTAAATCTTCATATATGTGTTATTGTATTAATATGTGGATGAACATGACAAACTTGAAGAAGGCATTGAGTTGGATTTTAGGTGATAAGCAACCAATTGAGAAGGAGGATGACTTCACTTGAGATGGAACATTTAATCATTATGATTGAGCTAAAAACATTTGTATGTGTTGTCTTTGCGTGTTATTCAAACTTTGTATATTCTTTTAGTTTCTAGATATCGATGAATACCTATTTTGTTTTAATATATTTTTATTTGTTCAAACTCTATATTTTTATTAGTGTGCTTGGATTATTCATTGAGGGCATGATGATGTTTACAAATTTTTTGCTATGCCAAGTTTTTTGTGGTTAATTTGAATGGTTTTGTTCCTTGTTTTGAAGGATGCATCAATTACTTGATCTCTAAATGGCAAAAATTTTAATTTTTAAATACGTTTCTTAACCAACTGGATCAACCCAAACCCGAAGTGACCCAAACCCAAAAAAACCCAAACCCAATAGTACCGAACCCGAACCAAACCCAACCGACGGTTTTGTCAGGTCTAGCTAGCACACACAACAAACTTTGACTAAGCACTCTGACATGCCACAATAGTTATGGGACTAGTAAAATTATTTTCAACTTTTCAAATCAGACGTAAAAGAGAAAAATATAGAAGATTGGCGAAAGATGATATATGCACAAATTAGACCTGACAAATTTGCCTGTTAAGTCAAGTTCGGGTTCGGTTCCTTTGGGTTTGTGTTATTCCAGGTTCAGGTAATAGGGGTAAGTTTGAGTTTGGGTTGAGAACTGCATGTTCAAGATCTAATGTCTTCGGGAACAAGTGGTGGACCCAACGGGTTATGTTTTGTATTTTTAAAATACTAAAATTTAAACTAGCACTTGCATTTTGCATTAAAAAAATAATGAAAGATATATGTTACATCTTTTAGAATATTTTAACTTGAATTTTAATTTTTTTTACAAGAATATTATAAATACAACCTAGTAGGACCCCACGAAAGTAGGGTTTAGGGAAAGTGTGTGTATGGAGATCTTACCCCTACTCAAAAGTAGAGAGGTTGATTCTAAGAGACCCCCGACTCAGGCATCACATAGGCACAGACCATGAACACATAAGCAAAGAGCAAAGAATAAAGTACATGACTTTGAAAAAAAACATACCTTAATGAATCGGTCAAGTCGAGTCCGGGTTTGATTGGGTTTGACCCAACTTTAGTGGGTCATTTTAGGTTCGGTCATCTTTGGGTTCGATTAACAAAATCTTTATTCGAAACGCAGTATTTTTTAAAATTGGTCGGGTCAATTTTTGTCAAGTTTACACACAATTGATATTATACTACAAATCTTTATCACAGGTAAACACTTATGATGCATAGAAAATATATCTTACATTGACCGCGCGGATGAAACATCAGCAGGTGGGCTTCCTTCAATTGTATTTATAATCTCCAAAATCACACTTGCATGATCACCTTTGTGTAACTGAAGAGCTTGTCTATACATTATGAGCTAAGCAGTAAGGCACAATCATTTCAAGAATAAGAAACTATTCTATTGTACGATACCATTTTGCTATTATCTTTGTTAGGCATGAGAGCATAAAAACTCTTTTTGGGAAGGAAAAAAAATCATACTTGAATTTTACTCGAGCTTGTGCATAATGCTCCATCCGAATTAGAGCATGGCCCCATGCATTCCACACAGGAAAAACATCAATCTGCTAGTAGCAATGAAGCATAACGTAAATTAAACTATATACTTTCTCTATAAGACTATAACACAGGTTAAAACTGCATAACAGGCAATATTTTGGGTACCTTGCACTTCTTGGATGTGTATACAGCCATACTATACTTTTCGTCTAAAATAAGTCTGTTTCGAAGATGTTCTGATGATTCTTTATCACCAATATCATCAAGGGACACAGCTATTCCAGAACCAAGAAGGCTCTGCATCAATTCAGCACGTCCTAGCCAAATCTCAACTTGTGCTAGTGCTTCTGATAAATCATCTGTTGATTGACTACCCACACTAGAGCTGCCAGCATCAGAAGATGAATCATCAGCATCTCTACTTCCCTCAACGCTAACTGACATGTCATTACCCCCTGCAAGCTTCCTTAGCAATGATTTTGCAAAGAGAAGACCCTACAAGAGCAGTATTGAAGAATTATCTCCGCATACCATGAATATTCATTAATGTAAAAAAGTCTCAAAGGAATACAAAGTATATACCTGCACAAAACATTCTGTCAAATGATATGCTCGACCAATAGTTTCCATAGATGCATTTTCAGGTACTTGTTTAGAGGTTAACACATTTTTCATCTGATTAACACACAAGTCAAGAGCTGCTTTGGCTGATGCCCTTGCATCCAAACAAAGTGAAAGAAGTGCCTTCAATACAAAGTGCAAGAATGAGAGTCAAAATGAGATACCATTCACCCCTACTTCTACAACTAACATGCAAGGGAACAATTCATGATTCTTTTTGGATTTGCGAGCCCTTAAAAAACTAGCACACATAGGCAGGCCATGCTTACCTTCAGCAGTCATCTGCTCAAGATATGCCGGCAATAACAAACTGATTTCCGGAGTCATTATTAATGCATTAAACCCCAAATGCTACCCAGTATTCAACGTGGTCATAGCAATTTGAATGAAGAGTGGTAGGAGGTCGATGCACTGCAATATTATCCGCCATGGTTGTTTGTCCTCGTCTTATATTGTGGCCAACTTCTTATTTCACAAATTCCTCGTGAAGTTCTTCTGTTTTCTCGTGTTGTCATTGCTAAAGTTGCAAGTTGGAAGTAGAAGTGTTGACAGTGGTGGAACGGGCTTTCAAAGCAGCCACGTCTACTTTGAGTGCAGTCATGGATTGTAAACTTGAGGCTATCAAAGGTAGTTGCGAGGATAAAGGGTCATAAGAGGTGGTCAGTGAAGGACATGTGTTTGTAGTTTAAGGCCTTGTTCTTTTGAGTTGGAATTTCAGAGTTGGATGTTGGAAGAAACTGGAAGGAATTGGAAAAAACTGGAAGGAGTTGGAAAATGTTGGAAGAGTTAAAGAGTCATTCAATTAAATGATCATCCAAATAAATATGTAAGAAAATTCTAATTTTAGATAAAAAAGAATTCATCCTTGTCCGTGTTTGAGGTGGTATATTATAACTTTGAATATACAATGTTATTGTATATTTAGCATATATAAATACTTTTTTATGTCATTTTTGGAAGAAACAGGAAGGAGTTGGAAGGAACTAACAGGAGTTGAAAGTTGATTTTTCCAACCCAAAAGAATAGGGCCTTAATTGTGGGGTTATGGCATGGTGGAGATGGAAGATACGGGGTATTGCAAGTGGAGTGGACCATCTTAATTTTTGAACATAACCAAAATGTTAAATACGAAAAATGGACAGGTTGAATTGAAACTCAAATTGCAATTAAAGGGTTACTTGGAGAGGGACCAGTTCTCCAACAAATGCGCTTCGAGAGGAGCAAATCTCCTCGACAAAATATTAGTTCAATCATTATCTCTTGATATAAAAGGGAGACTACCTATACTAATTATTAGTACCTAAGATAATGGAACTAATGCTTCAACTATTTCAGGCTCTGACAATGGAAGTAACATTGTGAAATTTTAGAAGACTCCTAATTTTCCTCAATAAGTAGTAGATCAACTAATATGTTGAGCTGTTGAGATTCGTCCCCTATGAAGACTAGTCTGGCCATCTAATAGACAGATGGTAAAACAATTCTAGGAAATGGATCTTGAATCTTGATTTGTGAAAACTCGATATCTCAAGAAGGACAAGAAACAAAGTGTAGTTGCTAATTTGCTATATCATGTGCTAAAGAAAAATATTGTGCAATGGCTCGTGCAACATGCAAGATCTCATGACTTAAGCATCTCCTTCGAAAATTAAATTATGGAAGCAAAGAACAAGTATACTTAACGTGTGATAATCAAGAACCAATACATATGGAATACAACTCACTATGTGACAAGAGGACTATGGGCAATCTGAAAGATTTATAACTTGTTGGATGACAAGTTGTGAGGATGTGCTATTGAACTAGAGAGAAGTTGGGAAAAGTATCTACCACTGATGGAGTTTGCTTAAAAATAACAGCTACCACCAGAGTATTCCAATGGCTCCGCATGAGGCTTTGTACGGTAGGAAATGCGGAACATGAGTTTGTTGGACCAAACTCAGTGAAAGATAGCTTGTTGGACATGACGTTGTTAATGAAACTGAAGAAAATTCAAGTTAAATCAGAGCAATCAGCTTTCCAACATCTTACCACAATCTCTTAAAGATCATAAAATAAAATACATTTGTAACAAGCTTGGTTCACATTATTTATGTGCTCAAGCTTGATGGGGTGTGGAAAATAGACTAACTTTAAGAAAAGTAAGACGGCTCTTAGAGTTGGTCGGTGTGGAAAATAAATTAACTTCAGGAAACGACAGCTTTTAGAGTAGGGAATTACCTCATTGCGTTGATCATTGATTAGGTGATGCTGGAATCATCACTTACATCATCATGAAATAATTGTATTAACATAAAAATTGGCATTTGTGCAAATCAGTCTATGATAAATAATTACTGATTACACTTTCACAACTTTCTTTGAGAGATGAAAATAGTTCGTGTACATTAAAGTATCCCATGTGCCCCAATGTGCTAAATAAACCGTAGAAGACAATACAGAATATTTTGTATTCTGGTGTATGCTGTGACTGCAGTATGATAGCTAACATATTGGAGCTGCAAAATTCAGCTATCCTACACGCATATTCTGTAAATCCAACAAGATATCTGATAAAAAAATATATACCTTAAAGAGATTAATATCAGGAGCACTTTCATAACGATGACTGGAACGAATAGCTTCATCCTTCTTTATATCACCTGTGAGCATCCACTCCTCTGCAATAGTAGCACTAGCAAGTCGCTCTTGCCCTTCTACAGAAAAAGAAGACACATGGTCTTCCTGAATACCAGTCATTTCCTCCCAAGACACTCTGTCAGGTTGCATTAACCCAGATGTCTTTCTCTTCCTGTATGTATCTTTTGGAGCAGATTTATCTCCATTATTGCGGGGAGCCCAAGAAAAAGCCCTTCTAGCCTCTTTTTGCAAGTTACTTAGGCTACTTGAAAAGGATGACCGCATAGGTGTTCCTGTTTTTTTCTGCCTTGGCCTTTGACCAGTAACTAAAACTCGGTGCTCCCTAGAAGGTGTACTGATGCTGACAGCAATAGCTTTGGCAGCATATGTGATAATTACACTGTCTTTCAACAAAGGAAACTCTTTAAGAATCTGCAGATAATTAAATAATAAACCAATTAGATGCAGTTAATAAATCATAAAGGAGAAATATTATGGCGGATAACTGTAAATGAACAATTTAAAGTCTGTTTATTACCACAGAAGCAGACTGAAGTTGTTTCCTCATCAACAAAACTTCAAGAATCAAATGGGGGTGCTCATGCAAGGAAGAGCACCTTTGCTGCCATGGTATAGGCAGGGCTGCCAAGACACGAAGACCTAAAGCCCATGAGTTGAGCCTAGAGACTTCCGCCTCAGATAAATTATTATCCTTACTCTTCAGAAAAAAGTGAACCTGCAGAGATCAAATAAATAAGACTACTCCGATAAGTTGAAAATGCAAGCGAGAAATTAAAAGGGTAAGGACGATTACAAGAAGATGTTTTGATCGAAGGTTTGGCAAAAGCTGCATTGCACTCATTGCAACTGGTAAAGCATCAGCAGTGTCACGTAGAGAAGAAAGAAACCGTGATGCTTCTGCAGGACCTCCACCATTTAAAGGATCTGCAGTCAAGAGCTTCACAAGTTGGCGACCCTGTAATTCTCTCCGAAGTTCAACAGAAAGACCTTCACTTTCAGCAACTTCTAGAGCAGCAGAAACAGCTCCTTTCTCAGCTAATTTAAGTGCAAGGCCCTCGGGATCATCTTTACAATGTATCTCAACCTGATACAGCCAGCTGAGTTACATAAAATAACTGAAGACAAAAGTCTCCGCAAAGCTGAATATTTTTTCATTTATTTTCCATGCTAAGAAACTGATTGGAAAATAAAGCAGGATTATTACCTGCTGCCAACTACTGTAGCGGTCATCAGCACATAATATATGCTTGAACCTAAAGAGGGCTCGCCTCATTTGCTCAACCTTTGTGTGGAGCAGTAAGCAAAAAAGAGAGAATATAAGTGAGTAAATGTGTGTTAAAATTGACCAATCACGTCACAATTGGAAGTGAATCTGGGGTCTATTATTTGTATTATTATATCATAAACCCAGGCAACAAAACTTCTGAAATAATATGTATGTATATTTCTCGATATTAGAATGAAGACTCATACATATATTTATAGTACACAAAGGAAGATGATGTGCAATGAAAAGAATAAGTTTCTAGCATTCAAGATACAATAAACAGAGGTAGATTGTCTACCGATTGGGAAAACAGTCTGATTGGAATCACAATATACAATAGTGTTATTATGGCCTCTCTCTTCATATAGTAGTCACTTCTTTGGTGTTTCCTTGATGGATCTAAAGACTCGTATAGCAGCATGCCAGCATCTCAATGACCATAACATGCTAATTTGTTGTTCCTAAAGAGACTAAAGTACGTTCTACACAATCAAATGCATATTTCATGAAGCTTATCCATATACTCCCTTCGTCCAAAAATTATGTTCCCGTTGCGCATTACGATGTTTGACTGAGGTTATTTTCAAATCATTTTATATGAAAAATGGTGTAGAATTTAAAAATAAAATTATATATTTAAAACCTACATCAAAAGATCTACAAAACTAGAGGTGACATGGCTATATTATTTTATCAAATAAGCAACGAAAATAGGCCAACAAAGTGAATAAAGTTTGACCATGTGAATAGTGAACGGGAAGATAATTTTTGGACAGAGGGAGTATATCGAGATAAAGGATAAGATCAAGTTGAATATCAGATTGTCTAATTCTAAAAACCAAGATCTATACAAGAAAAAGTTTTAAATATACACCACTCGCAACGCTACCTCATTTTTTAAAGGATCTGTATTAAGCAAGTGGCAATTGCACATAGTAAGAACATCCAAAGCAGCATCTAGCTCCCATTGACGCAAATATCTGAGAAAAGAAACATTATTCCTTGAGAAATGTCAATCGACATTGATATAAACTAAAGAGAACTGTGTCACAACAAAATAAATCGAACTTGTTTAATCTTCTCATCCCAATGAGAAAAGCGATGTGTTTATGGATTCCAAGAAAGATCATCAAAAGATGATAACTAAAATGAAAAAACAATTAACTTTCTATGTGTAATATAATTAACTCTCTATGTGTCTTGTTATTGGGGATAATTTAAAAATTGAGCAACAACTCAAGTTTGGATCACAATGTTTTATCAACACAAAGGGTGCACTATATATTCATTTGATTGTCTCTCTAACTAACCTATTTAAGCCATATGGCATGTGTAATGACGTTTAGACTCTAGACCAAAGATGTAGCCCTCTCTGTGAATGAGTTCAAGGCCTATTTGTATCTAGTATGATGACTAATGAATTTCAAGTACGATGAGGATATGGATATGTCTCACTTTTTTGATCGATTAAAGAGTTGCAACAATAGTATAATACACTAATATATTGAATCTATATCAGATTGTAATCTTCATATGGATCCGTGTTTTATCACTTACCACTTTCCAGCCATCAAAGTGGATACCTAAGTGGATAGCAACAACTCTTCATCTTGGTTTGCTTTTGTTATGTTGTGATACCATGTGAAACAATGAGGTGTTATGCATTTGTGTATGTTAAGAATGTACACATAGCATGCATACATACACATGCAAAACATGAGGTGGGCATATACTTTAAGATCTCAGGCACTACCATCTCTCACAAAGCCAATTGGTGTTAAGAGCATTCAGCACACAAGTGGCCACAACATTTGATTGAGACCTGCCTATATTTAAGATTTAATATTGATAGCGGTTCATTTTATTATGTTTCTTTTAATATGTTATTTTTTGCGTTGTTGTTGTTGTTGTCTTTTCATTAGAAGTTTTCTTTAAGATATTTGGAGTAGTTTAATATCTCCTTTCTTAAGTTCATTATTTTAGTTTGAATTTTAAGCTAAGTAGCAATTTATTTATAGTCATGTAACCTATCATTATTGTTCACTGGAGAATAATAAACATATACTCCCTTTGTCCCAAATTAATTGGCACACATCACTATTCACGGTCAAAATTTTATCAATTTATTTCTCTTAATTTCATTACTCATTTGATAAAATAAAATAGAGTTGTTGCCTCTTGTTTAGTAAAACTCTTAGTGTAATAATATTTGAATATACAAATGTTGTTTTAAAAAATTACCTCAATTTGCATATAAATTGAACTGAATTCACTCATCATAATTTGCAACTAGACCTGCACAAACTCGGGCCGGCCCATCCGGCCCAGTCATCCCATCCTTAAAAAAGGGCGGATATGGAAAACTATATGAACCCATCCAAACCGGGTCGGGTCGCAAGATAATATGGACAGGCTTGGGCATTGGTTTTGGATCGCATGTGTTATACACACAATAATGTATACATATATATATATACATACATAGATATATATATATATTTCTGTCTGAATCCAAATATATACATATATATTATCTTCCTTCTTTCCTATTTGCGTTGTCCAAAAATTTTCTTCGTCTTTCCTTTTACACTATGTTTGGTTCACGGAATTTGATAGGGAAAGGAAAAGAAAATGAGAATGAAAACATTTTTTTGGTTGGCTAGAGTGGAAAAGGAAAGAAACCTGAAAGGAAAAGAAAATGAGAAGGCAAAATGTACTAAGAGGGAAAATCAAATTCCTCTCATTTTGGTGAGAAAAATTAGAGAGAGCTATTTTCTTTTCCTGTCAAATTCCTTGAACCAAACATAGTGTTAAGGAAACGAATATGTGGTTCCTATCAAGTCTCTTTCCTCTACGCAAAGCAGAACCACCCACATTCCACTTTATTAAAAATCGTGTCAAGCCAAACCTGGAAAATAATTCTAGGACATAGGGAGTAATATGGACTATATAATTTTTTCCTTGAAAAGAAAATGGAAGAAAATCTTGAGATACCCCAAATAGGAAAGTAGGAATATAATTATGGGATGGAGGGAGTATATCAAGAGAACATAAAAAGAAGTGTGAGAGAACAAGCATGTAGTGCTGGTGTACAACTCTAACCAAACCCCCCTTATGGGCTTTGTAGCAAGAAATGATGAATTCTTTTATGGTGTTGTTGGGAACTTGAATTTGGATTTCAAATATGGATTTGATCCAAATTACATGTTTGGGAACTCAAAGAGTTTGTATTTGGATTTGGATTGGAGCAAATTCTTCTGATTCAAAATTAACACAATTACAAATCTACACCTCTCCCCATGTCATTTACAAATTCAAGCTCAACTTTTCTTTATTTTATAACTTACAATCAAAGAGTGATCTTCCCTTATGCAACAACAATTCTATACTTATCAACCCGCTTCCGTTACCGTCTTTGCCGACACCAAAATTCAAATTCTAGAATTAAAATTTTATGACTTCCCAAACAACATTTGGAATTTAAAATTATGGGAATTCAAATACTGGGATTGAAATCCAAGATTTCGAATAAATTCTAGTTCCCAAACACTACCTTAAAGAAAAGACCTTGGCACAAAAGTCATGTTTAGAATAATGTCACAACAGAGTTTCAAAGCTATTCTTTAGTGTCCAAATGCTAAAAGAGCCACTAGAATTCTATCAAGAGAAAAAGGAACTTTAAGGGTAATAGCAAATAAAAAAAGACTAGCCCATAAGTAAAATTGAGATACCAGCTCTAGACCATTCAAGAAAAGAATGTTTGAATCTGTCCGTTAACCACGATTAAAAAAAAAAACTTTACATGAGTACTCATTAGCTATGGTTAAGCACTGATCTTACACATAATTTGACCAAGCCCATACAGATTAGGTTTATGAATGCAAACAAATATATAAAAAGGTGTGTACGCACACACAAACCCTAGTTCTTAATAAGAAATATACTTTCCTTTATATGGTCAATCAAACACCATCTGATGTAAAAAAAGAGTCATACTGTTGTAATAAATTACTCCCTCCGTCCCCCTAAGATCTTCTCATTTTGACTTTTTGTGGTTTTTAAGGAGAGTTGAAAAAAGGTGAAAGTTTATCATAATACCCTTAATGAAAATGGATGGAGTGTATTAAATGAGGTAGGTGAGGCGTAATAAATAAAGTAAGTGAGGGTAGTTATGGTATTTTAATTGTTAAAAAAGGTAATGAGAAGATCTATGGAAAAATAAAAAGGGCTAATGGGAAGATCTATGGGGGACGAAGGAAGCATTAAAATTGAAGGAAACAAAGTAGGTGTGTGTGTGTGTCACATGTGTGCAACAACTAAAAGAATGGAAAAAAAGAACGGTGCGTGAATTATGCCTAGGGGAGGAACATAGCAGTAACCGTTTCTGAAAAGGGGCATTTAGTAAAACATACTTGAGGGCAAGTCTAGCTGCCAGATGTTTATCCTTCAACCTTAGACAATACTGCCAACTGTTGCTCCAGGGGTGATTGCCTGAGTAACTTTGAGACTGTCCTGAATTATTTTCTTCACCATGTTCGAGTAGGAGTTGGAGCAGCCAGTCTGAGGCACCGTTGCGTAAGAAGCGGTCGGAGATAGCAAGAGCATCCATCAACTTTCCCTCCTCAATTAAGCTGTAGCAGATAATAAAAGAAACATTGAATCTATTATATCCACATTTCCAGAAAAAGCTCTTTAACATTTTGACACCAGTTAAGAGCTCAATATGTTTGATTGGAGGGGAGAGGAGGAAAAAAGTTTCCCTCCGACAACATTCCGAGGGTGGGGCAGAGGAGAGGAGTGGTGGAGGGAAAGTTTTGGCTACCCCATCCTCTAAATATTTTGAACAAAATAAGGGGAGGGGATAGAAAAGAAACTGTGAATTATGAGGCCAAAGAAATATGCAAAATAATTAGCATGTAAACATCACTATGACAACAATAGAGTTTCATTTTTTAGTCTTCATAGAAGTAAAAACTTGAGGGAAAGATGGCAAGTCTAAATCATCTTCACTGTTATAGTATAGAGCTAATCTGTGTCCATTAATCTTGAGCCGGGGTCTTTTGAAACAACTTGTCTACCTATATACGTAGGGATAAGGTCTCCACAAACTCACCCACCGCTCAGACCCCACTTGTGGCACTTTACTAGGTATGTTGTTATATTGAAAAGAGTATCATGCTTGGGTTGAAAATGACTACAGTTGGCTCATTGTCAAAACACAGATAAAAAGAACATTAAAAGAAAACCACTAAAATTATCATCAACTGAGAAAAGACAGCAGCAAGGCAGAACATACTGTTCAACAGCTTTTTCGTAAGGACCTTCATTTTCACAGTCAAACGAAAGAAGAACCGAATCACGATCAGCAGGTATAGACTTTGGAGGAATGCCCCACGGATCGAGATGAATGGTTTCCTCGTTATTTACCTCTGAAGATCTTCTTACCATATTATTGCTGTGTGTGTTTTCGTCAACTTCTGATTCACTGTCACTTCCATAGTCACGAAGTCTTTTCATAGATGCCCTACTTTTAGGTTCATTGTTACCATTTTTTGAAGCATGGTCAGTCTTCACGGCAAACTCTGACACACTATGAAGGTTGCTTTGCATCTGTATCCAGCGATTCAGGGTAGGAAACCTGTTTATTAAAATTAAGGATCACATTAACCATAAACATTACATGGAGCGAGGAGCCGAGGACAAACATCGGTCAGGTACACACTAACCTCTCGGATTGATCAAGTGCAAACTCATAAAATAATCTATTTGAATCTGATATTTGTATCATGCCAGCATGGAATGATCTAGAAATGGAAGTTACACTTCCATGATGAAGTATGCTGCTACCAAAGACACATGCTAAGACAGCCCTAACTGGGGATAATTTGATTAGATGCTTTATTATATCCAGTTGGAGAGGGTATAAAGGTAGTCCAGTGGTAGATGGTGAACTGCTGATCGTATCAAGCTTAGCCGCCCTTGAAATAGTCGTTGCACTGCTTTCAAAGTCATTATTAGGAAATGTGGGAACCAATGCAACACTAGCCCAACCATGACCATATCTTGGAGGATAAACTGGAGGCACTGACGCAGATATTACTTGATGCACAAAATCAGCAGACATTATTTCTGCTGCTTTTTCAGCTGCATCCGTGCTGCCTCTCTCAAAGACCAAGCGAGTTAAAAGCTGTAGAAAATCATCATGGGAGAACGCAGGATGAGTCACTTACCTACCGAATCACACTGCACCTCCTTTTGAGAGGAGAAAAGCGTGGAGTGCACAAAAATCAACAATTAAATACTTCACATCGGTAAAAAGATAAATATAACAAAAACAACAACAACAAACCTAGTATTATCCTAGTCTGTTGGGGTCTGAGGCTCAAGATGTACGCAACCTTACCCCTGGTGCATTAACTGCCAAAAACTTCATAAAAATGTATGCAGTATTATGCAAAGGAAGTATAGCGTGCCATTTTGATTTACTACCAAAAACTTCATAAAAATGTAGGAGTAATATGCAAGGAAAGTATAATGTGGCATATTGGTTTAGGCCATTAACTATCCGAAGCGAAATCAATTTCAAAAATAACTCTTTTAGCTCCATTGGCAATGGAGACATGTAAAAAGATAAATAAAAAAAGTGCCAAAGAGAAAAGTGTAGTTTGTCCTTAAGTTATAAGTAAATAGTTAAATCATAACCACCATTATATGTGTCAATGTTTTTGAACCCCTAAACTTAACTTGGTGGAAAAATTAGTCCCTCTATTGGCGAAGTGTTAAGCTCACCATTTGAGTTTGATATTCCTAATCATCTAGGGGCTAAAAGTGGTAAATTACTGTCAACCAGATCAGTCCTAAGCATAGTGTAGCTTACCTAAATGCGAGGAGATTCTAGAGATTCTCTAAACTCAACGTGTAGAGGCGACTAGCATGCTTGTAAGAGTCCAAATAATATCAAAAGATTATAAGGAACCTATTATTAACATATACTCTTAGCAAAAAAACAATTCAGCATTTCAAATTCACAATAAAATGAAATAACAAGCCACAATAATAAAGTGTAACTCCACATTAGTAAAAAAGAATATAAATCTATACGAGGAAGGCAAAATATAAATATAATTTCAAATTTGCTAACTCATTTCTTGACTCAATAGTTATGCATTTTGCAAGAGTTTACCAGGGCCTACCATAAAGGAGCTGATAGTTAGTTAATTTGTTAAGTCTACGTAACATTTTAATCATGTGTTTATGAGTTAGATCCAGAATTTCACAACATTGATTAGACATATAAGTGGTTCATGTACCCGTAATCCTATTCCAAATTAGCTCACATTTGCCATGTATGTCAGTTAATAGGATTGAGTACATGTAATTTGACTAACTTGTATGTGAATGCTATTGTTTCTCTATTACATGGTATGAACGATCACCATTGAAGTATTTATTGGGGATTGAGGTTCATTTAAATTAGATATTGCCCGTTGAGAATCTCAAATAGTACAAAGGGAAAGTTGGGAAGCTCCGTTATCTTACCATCACTTGACATTGTATTGTTAGTGTAGTTACTAAATCTATGGAAGTCCCTATGATGATGCTTGGCAAACATCGATTCTTGTATACCCTCGGTCATTTACTTATTAGGTAACCAGATAATAAGAGGTTCATTATTGGATATTGTAGTCTTATAAGTGTTAGATAACAGTGAACTCTAACCCTAATTATTGCTGAAATTTATACAGGCCCAGCCATATCTGTGTATCCCGTTGCCCTAACAAGATCTATATGTGTGCGCGCACAGGCTTAGTGAAATACAGAGTACAACTGTACAAGATAAGCCTCTCACGACCTTCTTTACACAGTTCAAGAAAATGTATGAAGAATTCAATATATCAATGCCTTTTAATGCTGATATGAACTAATTAAAGGACAACAGAAACAACGAGAGAAGATGGCAGCATGCTCTTCGTCTTTTAAACGGGCCAACTCCTTATTAATGTCAGTTCTGAGATACGCCATTATTTCCTACCACCCAAAAACATTAGTACTCGGTATGCTCCATATGTTATTCATCAAGTCACAGAATTAGTTGACCAAAACATAGTGTCACAAAATTAGATGCTATGTCCCTCAAATGTATTTTCTTAGGATACTGTCTCACGGGTACAAAGAGATCTTTCAAATTTTTTAATACTTGCTAATATTAGGTCTCCATTGAAATTACATTCCATGGAAATGTTACACTCTTCAGCACCCAATCTCAACCGAAAGGAAGAGGATGGACTTTCTTGTTTATAGTACTACTTACACACCACAGTTGAATGTTTGACCAAATCAGCACCACTAGTCACCGTTTGAGTGACCAACAACGAGAAACAAAATACAGTCCTAACTCTGTTGGGGTTCAGGAGATCAAGATGCGCAATCACACCCCAGTAAAAGCAGAGAGTTGGAGAGTTTTCCCTTAATGCATTGCTACACTTACTGCCCAAAACATCATAGAAAGTAGAAGCAAGGGAAGTGCAATGTGCCATTTTTATTTGGTTTAATATTTACCAAAGCAAAAACATTGTCAAAAAAGACTCTTTTAGCTCCAAACCCCTAGACTGAGGGACCCGAAGCAGTGGCATACTGGCATGTATAATTAGGAAACTTTTTCTACTGTTTCCCTGTAATTGAAGGGCAAAACCTGGTAATTTCCAAATATAAAAAATAAATGGAGTAATAATTGGAGTGTAACACAATAAATGTTCTCATTAGGCAATGCCAAATATAAAAAATAAATGGAGTAATAATTGGAGTGTAACACAATAAATGTTCTCATTAGGCAATGCCAAAGGATCATTGAGCTATGTTATACAAGAGTTTTCAGGTCTATACTAAAATGGGAAAGAAAAATTTTACTACTATTCCATTTCTTTTAGTACGCTCTGCAGTCCTCATGCCATTTCACAATCATGCTTGAACTTCCAAAAATGTGTAAAGAAAATTTTAAAACCGTCCAGGCAATAGGAGCAAAATGAAGCTCAACTAAAGCTAGATAGAAGCTGGCTGATTAAGCAGGAGTTTTTCTGCTTCTATCCATCAAGTGCATGTTCAATATATTAAATATGTACACAAAATGTACCATGGATTTATATACTTACAGGTATCAAGAAAAGATGCAAAAACCTTAAGGAGTGACAATGCAAATGGAAGAATCAAGTATCAACAACTAGAAAAGAAAGAGACTCACATCTTTAGGCCATTCATAAACGAGAGAGAAGTAATTGAAATCATGAGTTGTATCAGTCCCATCAACAATATCACCAATTGCAGCGATGTAGATAACAAATTGTGAGAGATATGTTACTGCCCTGGAGCTTAAAGGCCCAAATAATCTCTTCCCTGTTTCTTTGCAGACATAGTTGTCAGAAAGTACATTACTTTCACTAGTTGCAGAAGTTTGCGATACTGGTTTCGAAGATTTCAAGCCAAGACCTATAATCCCATTTCTGGTACACACTAGAGATCCTTTCCAATCAGAATATGAGCTCTCTCCTTTGAAGTTATCTCTTTCTGTTTCTTCTTCAGCAACTGCTCTTGCAAGATTATGAAGCTTACCTGAACTCAAAATATTGGGCACATATATTCTTTGTTAGCACTTAACAAATACACAAGAAAAGGGTTAATAACTTACCACTAAGAAACTGCCTTTTCCCAAAATGAGCATCTTCAATCATTTGATGAAGCATAACAAGAGCGCGTTCTCGATGCGCTTTCTGGTTACACTCCTTTGAGGATAGAAGGAGCACCTCTCCTGATAAAATGGCCTGAAGATCGGAGGACTTATCCTGAAATAGAATACCGTCACCCAAGTATTCTGTCTATTACCTTGGAAATCTATTAGCTAGTAGGTAAATTTAGAGAAATACATAATATTGTATGACAAGCCAAACAACATAGCCTAAGAAATTTAGAGAATGGGAGGCTAATAGGTGAGGTATGCAAGTGACCATACCTGAGATTTTATAGGAAAAAACACAAAACTACTTTGTTTAATCAATTTGCAGTTAAAAAATGAATGTTTTTCAATAATGGAAGAAGTTGAATAAAAACGCCACCATGATCCACCCCAACCACTTATCAAAGTTAACTTCAGTATCGGCTCAGTTCTAGGGGGCACTTCGCACAGCTTTAGAATACCCTCCAGACCACAGTTCGCCAAAAAATCAACCCTGCACATCCCACCACATGGTGATATAACATACTCCCTCCGACTTTGAATAAACTTTACACTTTCCTTTCTTGTAAGTCTACAAAAGTAAAAATCAACTATACATTTCTCCACTTTCTCTTTTAGAAAAAAAATACCTCTATAATTATTTTCTCTCTTCCATATAAATTTCAACCACACAACTTTCACTGTTGACCAAACATCTTTCACTTTCAACACTTTTCTTAAACTCCGTGAAGTCAGACCTTAAGGTTCTTTCAAAGACGGAGGGAGTAATATTTAATATTTTAGCATTAACAAGATTATAATAAAAAAGATTTGGCATTGGTAATTATTTAACTAAAATTTAGGGGTTAGAAAGTGGAATTTAATTATATGTACCCAGACCTTCAAAGTGTGACTGAACAATTTGATGCCCCTATAATTGTTGCAATTTTCGATATCCCATTTTCCCTTGTATAGCAGGGCCACCGTGCTCTTCCTCCCTCTATAGGCATCTTACCCGTCTTGAAAATGGTGTTAAGAAACTCAGTTAGCCACATATCCCTACTCTCCCAACAGACTTCCAAAACTCTGCCGGGATCTGATCTAATACCATCGAGTAGCCAACACCTGAAATGATGACAATGAGAACACCTCCACTACCTAACACAAAACACCTCTCCACTTTAGGACTCAAAAGGTTATGGAAGACTGCCATCTCCACTGTCTCAAATCGGTTTTGGTTGTCAGCTCCATCAACACCCTACCATCCACATCCTTCACTGTCTCACTTGATCTAAGTCCCGCGCCTTCTTCTGTCTTACGTTAGCAACCTCTAAGAATGCTCTCCCCTCACTTCACCTCTAAATCCTTATACATCTGCTCAAAAATTACAGTCTTCGCAGCCGACACTGCAAACTTAGCTTCCTTGCAATCTTACTCCTGTCTCTGTTCACGCACATCCCCTTTTCATCTCCACTCCACAAGCTTCTTTCAGAAGACTTTCTTACCCTTAACTTTTCCTTGGATTTTGTCCTCCAAAGCCACTTCCCTGATGCATTATGTGGTTCTAGCCCACATGGTGTTGGCATTGCCACTAGACACCCAAGCACCCCTTGCCTGTAATTTCTCCACCAACTCATGATTGTTACCCTCATCCAAGACCCTCCAACGAATACGGGATGGACCAAACAAGCCTCCGCTCTTTCTATCTCATTTGACTGCGGCATCCACCATCAAGAATTTATGTTCGGTATCAAAATTCTCACTCAGGATTACTTTAGCATCTTTGCAAAGTACTATATCACACTTTAGTAAAACTAAGTGATTGATTTGTGACTTCACCACCCGACTACCAAAAGTCACCAAGTGGTCCTCTGTCTTCATAAAGCACGAGCGTTAATGATCAACAGGTCACTAGCTCTAGTAAACTCCAACAGAGAGACCCCTGCATTCCTATCACCAACTTTATTATTTTATAGATATTAATATAAAAGCATATAATATGAAATAAGTAATTAAAGAGTACATATCTACCCAAAAAAAGAGTAAATATTCTGAAATATATGAATGAATGTTGTTTTTAAATAATTAAAATTTAAAATTATATTAAAAAATAAGTATATTTTTTACACAAGTTAGTAAGTTAGTGGGCTTTTAAAACTTTTTTAGAGTGAAATCAAATTTGGGCCCAACACTCTTTTAATAAAGAGCTATACTTAATAAGTGCAAGGGCCCACTACACTTTTAATAAACTCAGCCCAAATAAGTTAACCTAAATAACTATGTAGAGTTGAGGGTTTAGACTTGGAAGCCGCTGGATATCGCGAGTCGCGACACTGAATCAACGTCGGCGAGGAAGGTAAACTAGATCTTCAAGTCTCTCTCCCTTTCGTCTTCTTCGGATCTTCTTCTCCTCCTTCATCCTCTCTCGGGCTTCTATCAGTCATCTTCTTCTCCTGTGTTTCCTCAAAAAAACCTAGGCGAGCAGTTTGGCGTCCATATAACCTCGCCCAGACGCCTAGGCGACGCCTTGATAACTATGTTTGGTGATTGGTAACTCCATTTTCCCTTAGCGGGAGGACCACTTTTTTACTTTTGCTAGCAGAGTGGGGAGGATGCAAATCAACTATTTCCTTCTTTGCAAGTGTGACCAGGTGATCTGTAAGAACTCTAAAGTAATCCCGAGTGAGAACCTCACGACCCAACATAAGCTATTGGTGATGTAGGATTACTTATCAAATGTTGACTTTGTAGTTTTAAAAATGCAACAGCAACCCAGTTGGATCCCAACGAAAGTAAGGTCTAGGGAGGGTGTGTGGGGAGGGTGTGTGTACGCAGACCGTACCCCTACTCGAAAGTAGAGAGGTTGTTTCCAATAGACCCCCGACTCAAGCTGCACAAATAAAAGGATCCCAGGAGATAATAAAGCATTACAAATAATAAAGATCATCAGAGATAACAGAGCACAGATAATACAGCAGAGAAAGCACACATACAGCACAAATGAGAACAAAGTAAAGTTAACGAAGGAAAAGTACTGCAATAAAAAAGCACCAAGCATACAAGGCATACAGAGCATGTGCAAGTACAGAAGACTACCCCCATAACCTCAGGCGCCTACCCAACTCCTCTAAATCTATCTCTCCAAACGCTCATATCTAAGGTCATATCCTCAGTTTGGGCAAGAAATCTCAAGTCCGGTTTCTTCTTAGGTCTACCTCGTCCCCTACTCACCCCCACCAAAGTAAGCCCCTCGCATCTACGCATTAGGGCGTCAGCATTCCACCGTGTCACATGCCCAAACCACCTCAACCTAGCTTCTCGCAACTTATCTTCCATAGGTGCCATTTCTACCCGACCTCAGATAACCTCGTTCGAAATCCTATCCAACCTTGTTTGCCGACACATTCACTGTAACATCTGCATCTCCGCAGCATGCAGTTGGCAAACATGGATTTTCTTAACCACCTAGCACTCCCCCCATACAACATAGCTGGTTTGACTGCGGACCAGTAGAACATACCTTTCATCCTAGCTGAAATCTTCTATCACACAGCACCCCTGAGGCCAACCTTCACTTGGCCCAAGCCACTCCTACACGATGCGCAACATCCCCGTCCAACTCCCCATCGACCTGAATCGAGCCTAGAATATTTTAATTAAAAATGTGTATATCAAAATCATCATGGAAACAGCCTCTCTACTTTCGGGTCAGACCCTACTTTCGTGGGATCCAACTGGGTTGTTGTTGTTGCTTATATCAAAATCATGGGAACACCATGGGCTGCACAATATGTTACACCTTACTGAATGATACTGTTCTGCGTTTCAATATAAACTTACTACAAATCATAATCAGCGGATAAATTTCACCAATGGTACCTGAACTTTAGCTGGAATTTCGAAGTGTTACCTAAACTTCAAATCCTTTCACAAAAATCCCTCAACTTACACAATCCTTTCACTAAAAATCCATTTGCCTGTTTCTAGGTTAATTGCCGGTTACCATCCGACGTGGATGCTGATTTGGATGCTGAATCACTTCCCTACCTCACTCTCTTTCCTCATTAACTGCTCTAGTACGAATCTGACACCAAAGATTTGAATCGTCTCATCGGCGAAAAACCCAACGCGCCACAAATTGCAGCTGAAAAGGTCATCTTTGAAGGTGGTTTGCTGTCAATCCGAATCTCTTCTTCTCCACTGATTAAGTTTGAAATTTGGATTAGACGAAAGACGATAGAGGGTGAACCTGACAACGCCGAAACGCGAAGTTTCAACCATTTGAGGTATTTGCATGTGTTTGATTTTGAATAGGATGAATGTTTGAATCATCCGAAGATATTTATTTTGTGTTATTTCAATTTGGTGCAGATATTAAAGAGATGAGGGATTTTGATGATAGTGAAGCGAGTTCAGATACTTTCATTCTCAGTCAAGAGAGCAGTGAAAACAATAGTGAGAGTGAAGAGGATTCACAAAGTGAGGTGATTGGGGTTTATGATTTAATTGTGCATCATAGTGGGGTGTTAGGAGAATATTCGTACTACGATGGAAAACAATTT